ACAGATTTCCTCTTTTTTTTTTTTTTTTTTTCCTGTAGCCAGGAATAAACTACATTCATTGCTAACCATGTTATGCCATAGTGATTGCATGTTGCAATAGCAATATAACTGGTTTGCTTCTGACTAAATTTGCTTTCTTGCATTGTTTCCACCAGAGTGAGCAAACTCCTAGACATGTATTTCAAGCTATCCCTTCCACCCACACCACCACTCATTCCTTAGTTTCTTTGTTTCCTTGACTCATTCTTTTTGAGATGGTGGTCTCACATTCCATGCCAGGGTGGCTTGGAATTCTCTATGCATCCTGCAGTGGCCTTGGACTCTTATCAGCCCTCCTGCTTCAGTTTGGGATTATAGGTATGAGCCACCACACCAAATTGACTCTGTATTTTTATGCTCCGTTCTACTTTGCTTTCTGTTACTGAGAAAAACACCATGATCAGAAGTAACGTGGGAAGGAAAGGGTTGATTTCATTTTGGAAAGTATAGTCCATTATTAAGGAAAGCCAAGGCAGGAATTAAAGCAAAATCTACAGGGGAACGCTATTTTCTATGCCACATGTTCAGGGGTGCCCACAATAGTTAGTAGTAGTGATGAATCATATCCTTTGGGATGGAGTTAAAGGCATTTGTGAGATCCCTGATATGTATGCTGGGAACAGAACTCAGGTCCTCTGGAAGAATCTTCAGTGCTGAGCCATCTCTTCAGCTGCTTAGCCTAGGGATAGTACTGCTCATAGGCTGGGCCCACCTATTAAGTAGCAATCAAGACAATGTCCCAGAGACATGCTCATTGGCCAGTTTCATACAAGCAGTTTGTCAAAACAACAACTTACCAGGGCATTGGTCCTTGATAAGACAATCTATAAACCTAACTCATTTCTTTAACTGTTTTGTGTTCTTAAAGCCATCTGGGAGAATGAGCAACATGCAAGTAAATGAAACTGAGTGTATCAGAAGTAGAGATGGAAGAAAATCAATTTTGAAACTCAAATTACCCAAACAATTGTGTTCTTGTCACAGATTATACTCCCTGAATCTGACTTAGAGGATGATCTCATTGTGCAAGATGTTTGTACTGAGGTGAAATTTTTGAAGGGAGACAAGAAAATGGTCTCAGTATCACTAGAAATTGAGTTATAAGGTGATCTCAGTAGAGGCTCATTTGGTAATGAATGGGGAGAGTACCAGAATTCTTAGGCCAAATATTTGATAGCCATTGTAATTGTGAAGGACATGGGGACACTTGGAAGCACTTTTTTTTTTTTTTTTTTGACATGCTGTTTTTCTTATTTGAAAAATTAATTAATTTTTGTACTAAAAAAAAATCTGTTTGAGGGAAATGACTAAATCTAAAATGGCTTTCTTTTTTCAGTTACTTGGTTCTGAAGATTGTCATTTGTGTAATGCTTTGGAGTTGTAAACCTTCAGTACTGTTAATGGGTATCCTGTTTGCTTTTCAGCTTGGGCAATGGTAGATGGTGGTTCAAATGTGAAAGCTCGTTCTTCCTACAATGAGAAGACCCCAAAGATCATTGTGTCCCGCTCTCATGCAGGGATGGTCAAACAGATTGCTCTTATGACATTTGGAAACCAGACATCAATCATCCCAGCTGGCGGTGCTGGTATGTTCTCCCTGCTTCTCCCCATCTTGTGGTTCCATAGTATGTTCTCAATAGACCAAATTGTTTGTCCCATACTTGGGCACAAAATAAGGAGGTGATGTACTTTGAAGACAGGCTCAGACTCCTATGGGGCATCTCTAGGGTAGGACTGAGTTATCATTGCCCATATCAGAAACCAAGTCTTAACATTAATGGTAGCTATTCATAAATTAGCCATGAAAGCATACTGTCACCAGTGTATACCAGCAGGGCCGCTCTTAATATGACTTGACTCTAAAATAATTGTCCCATGTGTATAATGGTGGGCCTGTCAGGAGGGAAGGTGGAGGACTTGAGATGTTTCTTATGGCAGGAGACTGTCAGGCTTCCTTCTAGGGATTGTTAGAATGCCTAATTCCTGGATCACTGAACTCTTCAACTTGTATGTCTGGAAGAAAGTATTGTGCTCATCCATTTTAACATATTTCCTCTGCTCTTCTACTACCTGATTTTAAATCAGAGCCCACAGTTCTGAAAACAGACAATAGAAAATATTCAGATATTGTGATCCATGTGTAGTTTTTGGCATATTATTATTTGCTTGAACCACCTTTAAACTGTTTAATTTATTACTATGAGATGTGTACAAGAGCAGACAGTAGCCTGGATTGGCCTGAAAAGTCCATTTGATGAACGTTTATCATGTCAGACTTTTTTTTTTTAATTCAGGCAAATAATTTAAAATCAGAAAGCAGTGGTGTTCCAATCGCTTTTCAGCAGTGCTGTGGTAGAAGGAATTGAAGTGGCACTTTTCAGCCTGATGTATTTAATTTTCCAGTAGTATCTATCTGGTTTCCTAGACTTTGCCTTAGAGGATGTTTGTCATTTTGGTTAAGACAGGTGAGCATCCACAATAGCTAGCAGGGTTGAAATGAACTAGATTCTAGATGAGGAGTCCTCCTCATGACTGAAAGGCAGTGGAGTAAAGGCAGTAGTACTCCTTTAAAATAGGTGTCATAGACCGGCTTTATTAGTAAGCTTATTTTGACTGTACCTACTATTGAGGTCATTGCTTGTAAGCATGATTGTGTTGGGAGATGATTTTAGATTCAGGCAACGGCAGGCAATGTGGAATGCTTGTGAAGATCTCATCCTGTTCCCTTCAACTGTGTTCTTGCAAACTTTGCACACTGTTTATTAAGTCATTTGAGTAATGACCTAGATTTTCTTTGTCTTCTAGGTTATAAAGTTTTAGCACTCTTGGATGTGCCTGATACAAGTCAAGAAAAAGCAGATCTATATATTCACGTGACGTACATCAAAAAGTGGGATATATGTGCTGGCAATGCCATCTTAAAGGCCCTTGGGGGGCATATGACCACTCTGAGTGGGAAAGAGATCAGTTACACTGGTTCTGATGGCATTGAAGGGGGACTCCTTGCTAGCATCAAAATGAATCACCAAGCTCTGGTCAGAAAACTCCCGGATTTAGAAAAGTCAGGACATCCATAAGCATTCCTGACCACAGGGTGCAACTCTGCCAGAGGTGAATTGTTTGGCTGAACTGTTGGAAGTTTCAAAGGACTGGTGGAGACTATGCATGGTTAAGGCCATTCTGACCTTAGGAAATATTTATGAAGCATCGAGACTTACTTTTCCCTGTACTAGGATGCAAAATCAGGGAAATTAGGTTGCTTCATTTCTCAAGTATTGTCTTTATTTTTGAGACTATTTTCATACGGTTGTCATACACAAGGCACATATATATATATGTATGTATATATATATTTGTGGATTAAAATCTAGAGCTCAGTCTACACTGTTGAGTCACCATTTTCACTCTACAAATGATGAGTCTGCACTGTTGATACTTTCTTACAGAATTGGGTTTGAGGAAGGCTTCATTTTGTGTAGATGTTTAGTGTAACTTTGAGGTTGTATCATACTGAAAATAAAGTCATTGGTGATTTTTACTCCTCAGATGGAAAGCACAAGAAGTCTCATATTCATTAATAGTCAACAAGTGCTCTGTTCATCTACCATTTCTATGGATTTAGTAGAAAAGGCTTAAATAGATTATTTTCTTTGAAGTTTTACTAGCAGGCTCACCAGTTGATAGAAAATATAGACAAATGATGAACTGCATTATTATTGGAATTTTTTGTGAATGTGTGTTTTGTTTTGGTCAGTCAACATGTATCTATGGTTTTAACATTTCTGCCATGTTGCTGTTGATTTTCATTCCCCTTGGAAGGTACATTCATTCACCCTTTCTCTGTTGACCAGCATTTAGTCTTTACCTGTAAAGTTGGTTTTAAGTTTCAATATTAGCATCATGATTTGGTATATTTTCTCACTAGAGATAAAATATGCTGTAAAACAGTGTAAGAACATAAATGACTCTGTAATAATTCACATTAGATGGGATAGCTAGTTTTAGTAATTTTTTTCAGTAATTTTGTTTCAGTAAATTTTTGAAACCTCGCCAGGTTTGTCTGTAAACATTCTCTTATTATCAGAAATGGCACAGTTCCTTTTTTAGCTATTAATCGACTTAAAATAACCGAATTCTCGAAGGAATCACTGTGGCACAATCCTATAGTTTCCTTTCAGATTGCGATAATGAAAATTGATGAATTTTTTTTCTGTTTAGTTGGCAAAATATGGTTAGAAAAAGAGATGGTGGCATTTGTCATGTTCCTCTAAGAGCTTTCTTTCTGAGCTGTATTTGTTGGTGAGTGGTTTTTCTTAGTGTGATCTAGAAAATCATGTAAATAGTCCTGTTTTTTCATGTGGCTTTGATGCCCTTATAAACATCAATGAGGAATTTCTTGTCTTTTCTTAAAAAAATGTAACCCTAAAGCAATTTTCTATTTATTTTCCTATTTTAGAGATAAAATTGAGCAGAGTGGACATGCTAGCCTGTAGAGATGCAAACATTAGGCCATCATTCCTCAGTACTGGACTAAATCTTAGTACAGTACCAAGTGATTTCCCCTATACTTAGCTGCTGGTAACAAATTAGCTTCATGCAGGGAAGATTCAAAGTTTTAGAATTGGAAACTTGGTGTTTGTTTAACAGGACTTGGGAGTTCTGAAAACAGTTTCAGACACCTAATCTAATTACTAAATATGATAAGAGACAGGAAACCCTGCTTTCTCCAGAGATGGCAAAAGCAGATACTCACCAGAGTCCTGTGATAGGGACATTTGTTTTCATTGTAATATATCAAGACAGGAAATGGAATTTAATTGAAAATGTTTTAATGTGTGGAAACTTTTATCATTTAGTAGAAGCAGAACTAGTTCATATTACCAAGCACCATTGTTTTGTTTTTTAATTTCAGTAATCTTGTATAACTAAGGATATGAACAATGCTGATTTGTTGGCTGAGAGTTGAAAGTATTATTTTATAATTTGTTGGTGTTGTCTAGTTACTGATACATACTTTTATAGACCATTCATTTTCTAAAAATTTTAAGAGCCAATATACACTACAAGGAAAAGGGTATTTATATTTATTTATGAGGTATTATTGTGCCAGAATGTACTAGCTGTGGAGTATGTAATGTCTCTCAGAATTAACATTAAGTTGTTTTATTTCTAAACATAACAAACTAAGCAAGTTTACATTTGGAAACTCACCTGTTTTTCCTTTAGTGGAAGCAGAGACATCCAGTGCTTTGCTGCCCTGCTCCATCTTTCCTTTTGGCCCTCTTCCTTAGCTGGTATGTCACCTTGCCCCATGTTTAACCCAAAATCCTTTTATAATCTCATTCTTCTGAACACTGAATTGAGATTTTGTAAAGTTCATAGTGACAGTGGTTTACTATTTACTATTTACTATTTACATAGTGATCTGGTTTACTATTATTTTTGACATTTAATGAGAAGTAAAGAAAATCACCTTCAAAACCGTAAAGTTCATTTGTGTGTCTCAATACTAATCTTTTTACAAAGCACTTCTTCCTACCAATCTCTATATAAGCCTGGAATATGTCAGTGAATTGGATAGGTAAGCTTACTTGAAGAAACCTGCTATTTCTGTTGGTTTTCATTCTCATATTTCCCCCTTCATTTCAGTTGAATTTACAGGGCCCTACATGACAGTCATATTTGGCATTATGATTTTTCTCCTTTCCCCAATTTTAAAATTTTAAGGTTTTTTGGTTTTTTTTTTTTTAACTGTAACACTCAGACAAGGTATTAGTGATATATAATGAACTGACAAGAGCATCTAGACTTATGTTTAAATAAGAGTTGTGTAGATTCTTTGTTTCTTGGGGTTGCTTTGGACTGCTCTGAAGATTGCATCAGAGGATTACAGGTAGGGCCAGGTCTAAGATAAGAAGGAAGATGCAGAAGCTCAGGAGAGAGATCAGTGAAGGTGAGAGGCTAGCATTCACCCTGCCTGCCCTACCCTGCTCTTAGATGCTAAGTTCAGGTACCTAACAATACCCTGGCGGTGGAGGTGGTAATGCCCT